TTTCTAAAGAAATATTTTCATCAAGTTTCAAATGTGTCTCTGCAATGCCAATTAAATCAATGTTCATAGAATTTATGCAGGTTTCTCTTAATTGAAAGTTAATGGAATCACTATCTGGATTCCATCCATTAACGTTCCAAAATCCTGTGATCCACTACCGACGATTTCCCCCACGCTGTCCTCGTGCACCTCCTCTTTTTTGCCAACCGTTAGCACGATCGTTTCGGTAACCACCCTGGTCACCACGAGCATCACCGTTACGGTGGTTTTCCCCTTGCCGTACCAGAATGAGATCTATCACTGCGGAATAACGAATCATCCCTAGGATTTTCACTGTTTAAACTGTCAGCAACCACATACTGGCCTTTAACTTTCAAATTTTTCTGACCACTATTAATTGCTCTCACAATTGTACGCATGTTAGCAGCCAACTGCCTATCACTTTTATGTTAATCATTATGAATGTATACTTTACTATATCTAGCACTATCTTTCAATTTGATTTTATTTTTCATCACCTTGAGTCGGTCTTCTGAACTCCCTATGTTTGCAACCACTACCCCTGGATTTCCATTACTCAACTCGTCTTTCCTTTCCACCCGTATAACTGAAATATCAGGTAGACTCAAATCGCTGCTTATAAGGTCTGACACTTTCCTACTATCACAGGATAATTATTATTAATTATTCAAATTAAGTTCAAACACTTATATAGATGGTTATACTTTTATTTCAAGTAAATCTCTAAGGAAAGAAGATTTCAGAATTCCGGAAACGGGCACATATATGGTTATCATAGGAAAATATGTTCAACAGATGTGATTATGAATCATATCGAACCTTTAACAGCGTACAGTTATTTTATCGCACCAAAATCCAGCGTACACTTGAATATTTTGACCAATAAGCGTCTATGTATATCGGAGCACTAATGTACTTGCTATGCAACTCAATTATGATAACTCTTATAGCAAAAATAAAGAAAGAAATTAACTATATTAATTTAAGCTTGCATTAAGCGATTTTATTCACCGACCCAAAATTAGTTGCCGTCAGTTTACCTTCAATAACTTTTTAGATCTAATTTATGAATTTAGGCCTGTGTAATTTTAATGAAATGTGTGTCGGTCCTATCTTCGCATCCTCAATACAAAATATGTAATTGTAATCAAAGATTTATGAAAAACATAATTAAAAACACACGTTATACATTATTAAAATAACTGTACGCTGTTTAAGGTTCTGACGTGTGTTTACACGGGTAAATCCGCCATTAGGGCGTATCGCATGATTAAATCACCTCGCTCAAAGGAGAATCGCACCGCTATACGTTCGACCCCCTGTTTAGGTAGATGCCATATCAAACTATGCAAAACCGCATAACGGCACTTAACCGCACAACCTACCTTCAGCTTCATCCCAGACAGAGGAAAATTAACCGAGTTTACTGGGCACTGCAGAGTAAAAATAACGGGGGATATCGGGGTTTAAAAGCTTTTGCTCTAAGAGCGGAGCCTTGTGCCTGCAAAGTGGCCAAAATCATCTTAAGCTCAATCATTAAATAACTAGATATTGGCTTCACATCTACACGTTGTTACAACCCAACAATCGATTGTCAATTATTACTGGATGGCGCTAACCTATGTTACAAGAAAAAAGTGGAAAAAATATGAGAGAATAGAACAGCTGAATGATAAAAGCAGAGGTGCCACTGCAAAATTAAAGCGTCTGCATGATACTGAGTAATTATTCTGGGAAAAGGTTGGATTCAATAAACACATCGGATGACTTCACCTTCTATTTATATGGGATGCACAATATTTACAAACTATTTTCAATATCATTTATATGGTTGAGACGAATTCTTTCTTACGGCGATGCCGATGAAAGCCGAGTTGTTACGAACCGGGTCAGATTTTCAGTACATATGTACTGTGATAATAAATGATATGGTGTTTTTAAAGGGTTTTCTTGGGTTTTTGGATTAGTTTGGTTAAAACATATATATTTAAGCTCGATTGGGAAACGCATTCTTGCAACTTATATATAAATCATGTTCGTAACCAACCAGTACTGGTGTCATATGAAGAACATGGTCGTGGCCCAAGAAGGGCTCGAACCCATGATCTCTAGGTTGAGGGGCAGGCACCTTAACCACTAGGTCATCGCTCCGATTATAAAGGTAATGTGAAAGACTGCCATCTGTACAAGTAGAGAAAGAACTCTGCCTCCTTCCCGAAATCTCCGTGCAGATAGTTTGATTGGCAAAACATTCTTTGTATCTATGCCAAATTTTGAACAGTTTTAATTTGTATGTTTTATTATCTACATAAAAATGACGAAATCATTCACATCAATTTATAACCAATAAGCATTTCAAATTCAAAATTATAAACAATACCCAAATATATTTTCATACAAAGGTTCAATCCTTTTGATAAGCAGGAAAGCCATTGGTCTCTCAGTTAAAATTAGCATGCAGTGTACTACTTTTCATTGGGCTATTGTCCCTGTCGGCTAATGTTCGTTGGTCCTTTCAGACAAATTAATTACTGGAAAATGTAGAAATAGTTTTGTTCCTTTTTTTGGGGTAAAAATGCACATAAAATGCACCATAAATCACAATAAGTTTTATTCATAGGAAAGGCCACAAAGTTAACCATCCTTCCTTAAACAAACAGTGATTAATAAGTTACATAAAAGACCTGTTTTTTGTTTTGTTTTTTCTTTCTTTCTTTTAGGGGGGGGGGGTGGTTGTTTGTTTGTTTTCTGTTGTTGTTTTTGTTTTTACTACATAACGCTAAATATTGTTCCAATGCTCATCAATGACTGCTCAAGTAAATGAGCATAGGTTTATCTATCCGATGAATGAGTAAAATTGACGATTTGGATTGTAATCGAATTGGCCGAGAGTCTCATGATAACACCACAGTAATGATTAATCAACATTGCTGAAGCTATTTAGCGGATACCCGCTACTTCACCCATGATTTTACCTTATTCAAGGACATTAACATTATAAAACATATAGTTGAAGTATTACACAACTTGAACTATGAACTTGTTTTCACGATGATTCGTCTATTTCACCAAAGCTTTGTGTCGGTCAATTTGCACAGTGGAAACTACTATTCTGGAATGATAAAAAATTTGCACAAAATTTCATTAGTGAAGACCTCAAATGGTATAAAAAAATCTCGAAAAATATTTATAATCCGCCCCCCCCCCCCACACCCACCAGTTGACTCCCTTTAAGATGTATGTATTCTCATTTTCGATCGATGGTCTGTGAAGAAAGATAACAGGACTGACCAGGTGTATCAATATTTTTTATTCAAACAATGAAATCGTCCTCGCATATATATAAAGTCATCAATAAAATTGACAAACATCTTAAACATAACAAGATTGCTTAACCAAAATTTAATACTTTACAGTTTGTATATAAACATAATTATTTTAGTAGTTTGGAAAATAATTAAATCCACAAAATGAGGTATATGGAAAGTTAATTTTAAAAGTATATAACATAAATATCAAAAAATGTCATTTCGTTCCTTGTTCTTGATGTTGTTTTTATATACATGTAATATAGTAACGATCTTAATTGTTTTCTTTACTGAAGAATTGTTATAATTAAATTTCACGAATGACGATTCTTAATTTGAATTCAGTTTTAAGTTACGTATTATTGCAGACTCAATCAATACATCTGTAAAACATAATAATAATAATTAAAACACAAAACAATATCATTGTGTTCCACTTACAGACAACGGCTAAAAACAAATGCTTGAAAAGCTTCTCACTATTCTCCCATAGACGGTGCTAAATGAAAACAAAGGGGGAGGGAGGTGGCATTGCACAAAAGTTGAAAATAAAATCTGCTGTTTCAAGTAGACAATTTCAATTTAAACTAAAGTGGTAAAATAATCGGGTTACTCTGTATTTTGCCTTGTTTGATTCCAGCTAAACTTGCTATTGCATTATGACAGATACATGTGTCAAGTAAATTACATATGAGCCGCGTCACGCCAAACCAACATAGTGCGTTTGCGACCAGCATGGATCCAGACTAGCCTGCGCATCCGCAGTTCGCTATCAGTTTCTCTACTTGAAAGGATGGTAAGCAGACAGCATGGATCCTGATCAGACTGCGCAGCTGGTCTGGATCCATGCTGGACGCCAACGCATTACGTTGGTTTTGTCATGACGCGGCTCATATACATGTTTTTGTCTCAACGATATGTACGTGGGTTGTAATATAATGGCAAATCTGTTTGTAAGTGATTATCAGAGCGTTAAGCTTTTAAAGAACAGGGAAAACCACCTCAGTATACAAGCTCTACCTCCCAGGCAGTGGTCCCCCTTTTGTTTCACTGTAAGTTGTTTGATATGAATATGCTATTAATTGGTCATTCTATAGAATGTACTCTTACGAAAGACCTGCATGGCACCGGTATCAGGAAATGATCGTCTGATATATGATTGTTTTATACCTTTCCATATAATTCCCACACATCACAATGTTAATGTAAAATAAATCATAAATACAGAACATGGATATCGTCATGGTAATTCCATTCGGAGCACCTCGCCGATTACCCATGGTCCTTATCCCCATAACTGATTGTACTCCAATTAGGACACATTCACTTTAATACATTTATTTATTAATCCGTAATGCTATCTATTACATTATAATGTATTGTTTAAGGAAAAAAAGGTATTTCTCTTGAAATTGAAATTTTAGCATTATACTAGTACTCCTGCAAACTTTACATAATCTAGGAATCTGTATCCAAAACAAATTAGAGCCGCGTCATGACAAAACCAACATAATGGGTTTGCAACCAGCATGGATCCAGACCAGCCTGTGCATCCGCACAGTCTGATCACGATCCATGCTGTTCACTTACAGACCCTATAGCAGGTAAAGAAACTGATAGCAAACAGCATGGATCCTGATCAAACTGCGCGGATGCGCAGGCTGGTCTGGATCCATGCTGGTCGCAAACCCATTATGTTGGTTTTGTCATGGCGCGGCTCAATAATGGTCTCTGTTATAGAGATAAATTGTGCCCTTCAATAAAAAAAGAATAATAACATGTAGCTAACAAAGTTACTGTAATGCTCTTAAAAACTCAACAGTACAGAAAAAATTCAAAATTTTGTTATATAGAAAAAATAAGAAAATAGAAATATGCAGTATGAAAATGAAAATGAAAAAGTCAATTTTTCATAAAAAAAGAATAAATACATGCTGTGTGTTCAAAATAACATTTTAATGATTGGAGTCGCGTCACGACAAAACCAACGTAATGCCTTTGCGACCAAAATGGATCCAGACCAGCCTGCACATCCGCACAGTCTGATCAGGATCCATGCTATTCGCTATCAGTTTCTCTACTTGTTATAGGGTTTGTAAGCGAACAGCATGGATCCTAATCAGACTGCACGGATGCGCAGGCTGGTCTGGATCCATGCTGTTCGCAAACGCATTACGTTGGTTTTGTCGTGACGCGGCTCATTTGATTACATGTATTTATGGAAAATGGAACACATTTATTGTTTCTTGCCAATTTAACACATTCATAATTTCTTACTAATTAAGTACATCAAGTTATCATTTACTAATCTAGATCTAAGTACCTTTATAATTTTTTACCAATTTTAGTACATGTACATTCATAATTTCTTACCATTTAATTACATTTATTATTTATTTCCAATCTAAATCTAGGTACATATATCATTTCTTACCAGTTTAAGTACTTTTACATTTCTTACCAGTTTAAGTACATTTAAATTTCTTACCCGTCTACGTACATTTACACCTCTTACCAGTTTAAGTACATTTACATATCTTACTAGTTTACGTACAATTATCATCTTTCATTTACTATCTCACGCTCACATATATATACATGTATACAAAGTATTAAAGTGTTCACACAGACGCACATACACTCTTCTTTCAAGTACTGATACACAACTATTTATAGAATAACAACATATATAAAATTAATAGAATTCACAAAACGTAACGATTATTGCAGAGCGCAGCAAAATGTATTTTATCTTAATAATAAACAATATATATCATGTAAGGTCAATTTAGCCTTCTCATATATTGAAGGCATTGTCATATTTGTTTAACAATGTCTAACAAATTTCGGTTAAAAATGTTAATATATTATACTTTAAGTGTTCTTGAGACGTTTTTATATCTTATGTTAAAATTCATGGTAAGTTTCTAAACGTATAATGCCAGTACGTGCATTTATACTAGATTAATGGAGCACTTGTACTTAGAAGGAAGTTTTACGCTCGAGACTATATTTACATTTTTGACTGTAGGTAATTTACAAAAAATATGTCCCTCCGGTCATATTAAGTAAGTAAACAGTTTAAACGGAAGGAACCAAATTATGTCGAATTTTCACGAGTGTAAAATGATTATATGTTGTTAAATTACCTAATCTGGTGTACGCAATATAAATATAATTTAAAAAGTGATAAAATTCAGTAGTTACCAGTGAGACGCGCGCATTGATCCCTGCAAATCACCAATATTAATTCGATTTAATGATGAATTATATGAACTATAAATTATATTCTTGATTCATTTGAACCGTTAGCAGGGGTTACGACTAAATAAAGCACTGCAAAAACTAAACTTTCATACATGAGTAACACAATTTAAAACATAAATAAAATAAGTTATTTCTGTTTGGTAATCAATGCCAAACTTTTTGACTTAGAACTCGTATTGTTCATGGCCTACAGTTTGTTGCCCAAAAGTTCTACACCGCCGCTTTTTTTCACCTTGGGACTGTTTAAGGTGCCTTGTCTAACAATTTCAACTCAATATATCCAACACGTTCAGGTCATAGGTAAACTTCACAACAATTCAGTCGCCTTCACCTACCACTTTACCAACAATAAGTCACTTTCTCTGATACAAACTACATAACATATCGCACTGTTTTCGGAATTAGACTACTTTCGCAAATCAGTCACGTTATCACTATACATCTCCAAACCTCAGCGTGTTGAGACTCTCTTGAACAATAGTTGACAACAAGCAGTTACAACGTATGTACTTTTCAAAATAAAATACTGCACTGTTTTACCGAAGTTAATAATACTATCTTACACTCCAATAAACTTATTATTCAACCACATGACAAATACTTGATACACATATAGCATGTCAGTTTAGTCCCATTTCGACTTGTAGCTCTACCACATCAAGCATATTTACTGAACCTATTTTATCGCCCTTCAACATTTTCTGAACGGTCTCATTTTGATTTTTGAACGATGGTCCCCTTTCTTGTATGATCACGTTCGACATCAGGTAGTCCAACGCTTGTAGCTTAACATGATTACACTGCTCTAGCAGCTTCACTATACCCATGTTCCTCCTTTTTGTTTTTTCAACTTCTTCCTTATCTTGTTTCAAAGCGTCTGCTTCGATTTCTTCAATAAGATCTATTAGAGACAGTTTCTTTTTAGTTTCCTCTTTTGGGGGAACATTTTGTGTTTCATCATAACTCTCTACAACGTTGTCTTTTCTTTGTATAAAGACGCGGTTGCTTGGTGAATTCTTATTATTTTCTTTCTCAATATCTTTCGTTTGTTTTTTACTTGTGGTATTCCTCTTACCACTGTTTGTTTTTGAATGCTGATTTTTAGGAGACGGCCCGTTTGAGATTCCTTGATTCACCGGGACATCTACATTTATGCTTTGTGTCGAACCTTCAAATCCATTTTTCTTTACTGTTTGTAGCTCGAAATATGTTTTATCTCCATCTTGACATACATTTGGTCTACTGGAAACGCTTGTATCTACTTCTTCGGGTGGTTTCGATAACTTCAGAGACCATCCGAAAATGTCGCGTTTTTTCATTCCTGAGATCACTTGCTCACGCACATCTGCATTGTCATTAGCATTACGAGATGATACAAAAGTGTCAGTACTTTTAGTTGGTGATGGCACAATGACTTTATTTAGTTCGTCCGCTGGTGTTGATTTTATGTGACTAGATGATGTGTTTGATTGTTTAACGCTTAACTTGTTGTCATCCAAATGCTCCTCGGCATACTGGAGCATATTACGCTTTCTTCTTTTCATCGGATCCATAGGAGTTTTCGGAGCTTTAAACTCTTGGTCCGAGGAAGAGTTTGACCCAGAATCAGATCCACTGTCACCTTCTCTTTCAACGGAAACATTGATACCCAAAGCCGTCCGATCGTATGGCCGCCATAAATTTTTGCGCTTCTTCGGCAATATTGAACTATGCTCAAAATGTTTCTGATTGACGTCATAGACTGGGGACGATGGCGCTGAAGTTTGTACAGTCGCTGGAACGTTGAGATTCTGGTTGGACGAAGGTGAGCCTTGAGGAATAGTGTACATGGGTGGGGTGACACTTTCGCTATACATTGGTGAATAATGTTCTTCAGCTTCGTAAAATCCACCGGAATTATTTTGCTGATATGTAGAAAAGTCAACCATGGGGTTATTTAGCGTTGCTATGGTAGCGGTAAAGGATTGCTGGAGGTAATCGTTAGAGCTATTAGAATCCATATCTGTTCGTTTCACTGTTAAATCGAGGGGAGATTCAGCAGACATGGGAAGTAGACGACTACTTGACATTTCTTATATTTGACTAGCCTTAAACAAACTCTCACCTGTAATCATAAAAGAAACAAAATCAGTAAAACATGGCACACTTTCCATAACTTGAGAAAAAATTTCTTCAAAAATCTTGAACCAATTTAGAAATTAAGATGCAGATTATTTCTCAATCATACATTTGACAATTAACATCAAAACCAGATGCACACATCACTTAACTTTCTGTACATAAAGAATATAAGAATTTACGGCCATCTAAAATGAAACGTGGGTGTGTATTTTAAAGCAAATGGTATTTGTTACAAAGTTGATAGTTGCGGGTAAAAGTGGCTTCTACAAAACATTAGTGAGTTGCACACGCAAACACCTTATAAATATATTTTAACAACTCAGTTTTGTGCACGAAACGAACAAGCAATCATGTCCCTTCTGAGTCTCCGTACAATGTATTATGTTTTTTTGTTCTAATGAACAAATGACAATTTAAGTCAACATGTTAGCTTTCTGTTGAGAAGATAATGGTTTCTGTTGTTATGAACGTGCTATTTCTATTTTATGTTAGATAAAATTAGATAAAAGAAATACCTCCACTGTGAACCTTAAATCTCTGATCGATTTTTACTTTACTGCTTTCACATATGATGTACAGCACACACACCTCGCCTCTTTATCTGGAAAAAAAAAACAATATAGTTGAATATTTCCTTGACATTTCTGAAGTTATTTCTAACAAACTGATATTTCCGTCTGTCGCTCATCTGATCAACAGCATACGTCAAATAACCCATCCTTTGCATTTTTAATTTCCTAAAATTATATTATATTAAATTTTTATAAATTGGGTTTCCCTTGGGTTGAAATTATATCATTTTCTTACCGATAATTCACATTTCATTAATTATAGACCCATTTTGCCCAAGAAATTTCTAAAATGTTTTTCTGTCGTTTTCTGTTGTTTTTTGTTTTTTTGTTTTTGTTTTTTCCCTAAAACGTTACTCATTGGTTAATGAACTGAACCATCTTTACTTCTGTTGCTTTTTGACAAGGCGATTTTGCTATTTTGTTAGCTATTTCACATTCAGCGCTGCTGTCGTCGGACTATAAGCATGTTACATGCTATAATACCATACTATAACGTTATACATCTCATGTGTACCCTTTGTAAAGAAGGAAAAATCATTTTTGAAGCACAATGTGCCTTCAAAATCAGAGCGACGTACAAAATACTATTGCAAAGCATTTGCATAATTTTTGCTTGTACTTGATCAACATCCCTTTATTTAAAGGCTTCTTTTTCGTTGGTTAATCACATTTATTTTTAGAAAAGTGGTAAAATCAATTCAAATAATATATTAAAAAGTAGGAAGGTGTCACAACAACATAAACGTTAAGTTATATCAGGCTCAAATACAGAACAACTTGACAGAAACTTTTGTTTATGTACCATGATATTGTAAATTAAATATGCTTTACAAATGTATGTTGAAACGACTATGTACAAATTGTGTACGTCAATAAATTATCTATTCTTTTATCTATAACAATAAGTTCCTAAAATGTCTTAAAATAACACTTTTGTAGTAAAAGACAGTAAATTTTTGAGCTATGCTTGCTTATTTATTTATTTCTTAATTATTTATTTATTGATTTAATTTATTTATTTATCTATTTATTGATTTAATTTATTTATTTATTTATTTAGATGATTATATAGTCATTGGTCATAACAAAATATTGCAAACATGAAATATTTATTGTTATTTCAGATCAGACATTGTACAATTCATGAAAATATCGCTTTAAAAATTATTGTTCGAAAACTTCATGTCATCTTTCAAACAACAAAAAATAATTAAATCTAAACCATTCAAGTATGTAAAACTAAAAATAGTGATATAACTTAAACGATATTTTAGTTATCAAATTAATAGACCCACAAAAAATCTTCAAACTAAAAAGTTACCAAAATAAAACAAACAAACAAAAAAAAACATTTAATATGATAAAAAACACAAAATATAAATAGTTATTTAATCTGTAAAAGGACTAAAAATAATCTTAATAAACTCATACCTTAATTTTAGATATTTAGAATTCCGTTAAGCTACATGTACATGAAAAACAAAATGCTAAATGATAATGTCTAGATGTCGATACACATAAATATATATATATTTATATAGTTGCTACATGTATAACCATCTCGTTATATATAAAACGTTATAGAGCGGTCAGTGGATATATATATTATAGAGAGACTAGTGAACTCGGCGCAAACAAATCAATAGCTCTGTATAAGGATCAACCGAAGTTCATCAACGGACACTCTCGCGAAACATTTATCGATTCAATTTTTTCCCCTTAACTTGAAACATCACAAAACACACACACATATATAAATATTGCTAAATTAAATATTAGAATTTAGACGAACTACAGTTTAATGAACAAATAAAATTAATACTCATCAAAGTTCTGAAGATACAGTTACTGGAACAGCAATTTCGTCACCACCATTGACAAGAGAGTATTTAAGTAGGAATTAAACAAATATATAAAACTATGTATATATATACATACTCACACCACTAAATTATTTGGTATGATGACTGTAATTAAGTTGTCTGCAGTAGAGAAATTTACTGTTTCTTTCAATTTTAAATAACATTTTTTTTTTCTAAAAGCAAAATATTGCAAAATTTCTCGTGGGACTCAATGACGGTCCTTCACAGTCAGAATTTGAAAATTGTTTTGTTGGAAGGAGTTTTCAGCATTATTTTGATGATCACACTTCATTTACAATGAAAAAATATTGAAATATCCATCCGCGAGAAAGAATTACAACTTTAAACATGCCCTGACTTGCACAACACTTATTTCATCTCTCTAAAAATCTTATTTAAAACAGTTTTTAACACAATTTTAGCGGCTTCAGCTTTCTCGCAAACAAATAAGTGACGTATTCACGATTAGCGTAAGTTCGGCAAGCTGAAGTTCGGAAGTTCACCCTCTCATTGAACGGTCATCGTCCGCAGTCATGTTATTTCATATTTTGCTAATCAGTTTTAAGTAAGATTACGGGAAACGGCGTAAAAAGCCAACATCCAGTGGTGACTATCTCACACTGCTTTGTCTTAAACAAATGCTTGAAAAGTTGAAAAGTTTAATAATCTTGAGCTATGATTATACTTAACTTCACGTCCCTCAAAGACAAAAAAAAACTCTTATTGAAAGTAGATCCACAGGTTCACAAACATAATCATACAAATTTAATGGTAATGCCAGTTGGACAAAAGCGCGTGGGCACTAATACTAATAATCATCAGGTACCAATGCTTGTAAGTTTCTTTGTTGTATGGTAATATTCATGGTCATTGAAAATTTAAGCTTTGCAAATAATGACAATAATAAATTTGAAACAAACATGCATTACCAATGCATTACCAAACACTTTTTGTAAGATTATTGCCATCGAGCACGGAATTATTGAGCACACTTAAAGATTCTATAACTCAATTTTTATGGTTTTATATCATAAATATGTCAGATGCTCAAATGACGATTTATCAATATTGCAAGTTACAAAAAGCATTATCTGTAAAGATATAACCGAATTTACATTTCATGTTAATAAAGGAAGGTCATTAAAAATTTATTTTCGATAAAGTCTAAGCCAAATTTTTCAATAAGAAATGAAAGCATGTATTATATATTTTAAAGATTGCTTATAATGTGTATAAATATTTGCAGTACATATTTTTATCATATTCTTGGATGTTTGGAAATTGTTTTAGAAGAATAATTATATAAATACATACATACATACATACATAAAATTTCACTTAAGTGTTGTTACATCCTTAATTACAACATATAGGATCCTTAAGTGTGCGCAAAAGTTGTATAGCTTGTGAATGCATTATATTTAAATAAGGCAAATATACAGTAAATATCTTATTTTTATTAGACATATAAACTTTCAATCGGAACACCTCGGCTGTTATATATTATAAGTTATCAATAAAGAAGATTTATGTAGAATGTCTGGAGATTATGTGCATTTTGGTAATTCGACTGATCGACCTGATAGTGTCACCATCCGACACGCACGACTTATTGTGAATATATTACTTTTATTTCATTTTGAGATATTTACAAAAATAGTTTTGTTCAATGTTGGCAAATAAACAAATCTGGTCCGAACAGTTGCAATTTGACAACTGCAATCTGCGGAGTAATATCAGACGAATATATATATCACTAAAATACTTGTATTAAATATGCATAAATTATGCCCCGACTTGTATCAAATTTACCTGTACTGATTCCTTTGTATAGTTATAATAACACGGAATCGGTTTGACATTTAATTGAGTTTTTTTTTCTCGTCTTTTGGAACTTCTTTGTTTACCGTGCAGCAAATATCTGATTTAAAATTTAGCTATTCCTCCAATAAATATTCTTTTTGAGGTAATAACTCAAAAAAGACGTTAGAAAGTAAGAAAATATTTTTCTTCTTAGATGAGTTTTATTCATTTTTAAAGCTGCATGCCTCCAAATGAACCAAAATATTTCTACAAAATCAAACTGGAGAAGAAAGTCATGAGATTTTAAGAAAATTAAGTAGATTAAAGATAAAAGCATAATTGCCATGTTGTGTGCGATTTATGACAATTTTACAGTATTTTTAACATATTTTTACTCAATAACTAACGCAGTAAGGGTTATTTTTTTTACATATTTTGATCTCTTTTTGTTAATTAATATGGGTTTTATGTGCTATTTGTAATGTGAAAATTATATTCTTTGTTCACTTTACAATATGTTACTACTAGTATTTAATAGATTTTAAAAAAATTCACGAAAATTAGCATGAATTTGGAGGCGTGCTGCTTTAAATAAAGTTTTTAAGTACACGAGCTTCTTCAAAATAAATAAATCAAAAGTAAATAAAATTAATTAAATAAAACAAAAATAAAATAAATTTATAGCGTTTATTTAAAGTACTTGTATTTTTGAACTCGCATAACTTCTCGCTGTTTCAGTCATAACCTTGGATAACAAGGTGTAATATAGAATAGCGGAAAAGAATAGTGACCGGTGTTTAACCTTTTGTCCCAACCTTGCTTGCTTTTTCCAGTTTATTAAGCTGTAAAGAATGATAATATTGTGTGACCGAGATAAGTGAGTTACCGAAAATAACTCATATAATGTACATATCGTTCATTTAAACGTGTTGGATTGTTAACATTGCTAATATCATTTTTATGATTAACTTTAGAGACATTTTAGCTTATAATTGTTCAGACGACGAGGGCGTATATCGACATTTTAAATAGCGTTAAAAATAGAATAAAATTCGTCTAACTGACCGCATATTTAACCCACCTCTTAATTACTGACCAGTGACTGACCAGTTGAATGGCATTTCATTCAGTATTACGCATGTATATATGTTTCAATTTCAAAAGCTTTTATAACTTACATATAATATAAGATTAATGTTATAATGTAAGTGTACTTTCAAAACAAGTCATTATAATGCATAATTATGCACAGCAGGCATTACAAAGTGAAGGTAATCCAATCTGTAAACGTTAAAAATGATTTAAAACAAACATTGTTTTAAATAACCCATGACTATAAATTTGGAAAATTGAGTGCGGTAACCATCAGGAAATGGAACAAAATACTAGTATCATTTAAATGAAAAATATTAACATTTTTCCAGATGATCTGATACATGTATATAAATGGGGATTCAGCCATAAAAGGCCATCCCGCATAGCTCAAGACGTGTAATCTCAAAATTGGGTTCGATTCCCGGGCTGGCCAACTAAGATACATTATAGCGATGTACCGTGTATGAGTACTTTAACACCAGGCATCATTCTGTATCTGTATCTTGCATTATCCTCCAAAAATAAAATTAGTAATACTCTTCTGGAGGACTCGCCAATATGGGCAACCGGTGGCGAGGTTAAATAAACTCAAATACATACACATAAAAGTGAATATCTGAAAAATTAGGCTGACTTAGTACTGAATGATTTTCGATTAAAAAAACTAATACATTCCATCTCTGCTAAAAAAATATGGATCTTATAAATTAATAATTCAGAGAAAAAATAACTATGTTGAGTAAGATATGTATTTAATCAAAGCAAATACATTGTCAATTAAAGATGCATGCCTTCAGATGAGCAAAAACATTTAAAGAAAATCATTGAAAAAATGTTCGATGATTTTAAGAAAAGTGAAAGGACAAATGTATTCACAACTGAAGAAATAATTAACATGTTGAATGCAAGTACTGTCTAATTTTGCAGTATTTATCATCATATTTTGCCTCGTGACTAGCGCAGTATTCGCGATATTTACAAATTCTTGCCTGATTTTGAAAGTTTAAAGAGACGTTTGCAAAGTTTGTTCACCTGCCAATATTATTCTTTTTATTCCATTAAAAAAAAAACAAGCAAATTCGTTGAATTTATATTCCCCGCCGAGTACTGGTTATTATTAACACAACAACTGAAGTCATAAGGCTTTATTTATATATTAATCATGGCATAAACTGTAAAATTCTTTGAACTTGAAGCCTTGTACCTTCAAACAAGAAGAGATTTTAAGTTTTCACTATATACATATAAGGAAAATCTATGACCCCTGGAGTGGAGCCAATTTTGACCCCAGGGCTAAAATTTGAACAATTTTGGCAGAGGACCTATATGTTATATCATATACCAAATATCAAAGCTCTAGGCCTTGTACTGTCAGACAAGATTTTTTTAATTTTGCATTTTTGAAACTCCTTTTCTGGCCCCGTGTGACTGATGATTGTGATTGAAAATTACAAAATTTTACTAAGTCAAGGGCAATAACTCTAAAAATACTAAAAATATCCAGACGAAAATACCCAGGTGCACAACTACACATACTGATCAACATTCCTGTAAAGTTTCATGACTCTAGGTAAAATTCTTTTTGAGTTACATGCGACACAAGTTGAAAATTACAAAATTTTACTAAGTCAAGGGCAATAACTCTAAAAATACTAAAAATATCCAGACGAAAATACCCAGGTGCACAACTGCACATGCTGATCAACATTCCCATAAAGTTTCGTTGAATTCTAGCCATTAGTTGCAGAGAACTACTCTGGAAACGAAATTCGGACAAAATTTTACTATATCAAGGGCAATAACTCTAAAATTACTAAAAATATCCAGACGAAAATACCCAGGTGCACAACTACACATACTGATCAACATTCCTGTAAAGTTTCATGACTCTAGGTCAAATACTTTTTGAGTTACATGCGACACAAGTTGAAAATTACAAAATTTTACTAAGTCAAGGGCAATAACTCTAAAAATACTAAAAATATCCAGATGAAAATACCCAGGTGCACAACTACACATACTGATCAACATTCCTGTAAAGTTTCATGACTCTAGGTCAAATACTTTTTGAGTTACATGCGACACAAGTTGAAAATTACAAAATTTTACTAAGTCAAGGGCAATGACTCTAAAAATACTAAAAATATCCAGACGAAAATACCCAGGTGCACAACTGCACATGCTGATCAACATTCCCATAAAGTTTCGTTGAATTCCAGTCATTAGTTGCAGAGGACTACTCCAGAAACGAAATTCTAAGTCAAGGGCAATAACTCTAAAAATACTAAAAATATCCAGACGAAAATACCCAGGTGCACAACTTCACATGCTGATCAACATTCCCATAAAGTTTCGTTGAATTCCAGCCATTATTTGCAGAGAACTACTCCGGAAACGAAATTCGGACGGACGGATGGACGGACGGACAGACGGACGGACGGAAGGACGGACGGACAACGCCAAAACTATATCCCCCTCCCGATTCCATCGGCGGGGGATAAAAAATTAGCATTAATATGGAGGCGTGCACCTTTAACACCAAAGGCCTCGCAGACCTAAATATATGTTGTTTATCAAATATTACTCAGGAATTATCAATAAGGTGCATTAATGTATAATCTCTTCTGAATTAAAATGGAATATTTATATGTTTATGTAGTATTCTGCAATATTTAATCTAATAGAAAATAACGCTCGTCTCTTCTTCACAAGTATTTAACAACTCATACAAAATGCACAACTGAGTTAAATGACGCGGTCAATATTATGGTGATGCACGTTTACTGACTGCATGAAACATGAACCTAAGCAAGCGGGAACCAGCTGTTTAGCGAAGTAGACATAACATTCACTTCACATAAATTTACTTACTTTTCATCGTGACAATATTCCATTTCATCTACTGTTTTTTTTTTTCACTGACATTCGATTAAATGATCAAACTCTTTTATTTTTACTTCCTGTTATTTAAACATCCTTAAGTTAAACGTTATATGTATCGCGATAGTGTATGCATTATTGTGAAATGCATCAAATACCAGACGTTTCAGCATTGTGAGATTTTAATGTACGGTCATTGACTCGTCTAGTAAGAGGTCGTGAAGACCTAGTTAAGAGAGTTCATCGACCGATATGCTAACTAATAGCTACAGTTCTCTCGCTGTATTGGAATACTCTCGCGAATAAATTGACTAAAACCAAGAACTGAAAATGTAAAACAATAAAGACATTTCTTGCTGTTACAAATCATGCCGATTATTTATTATTGATCTGTGCTCTACATTTATATGTATTTATCATCAGAGCTTTATGTTAGACACAACGTATATATATGAGTATAACCCGTGTTACCTCCCGTGACGTTACATGAACGGAAAACACGTAATCTACAGAGTCTATGTAATGAGGATTTTAAAATTCTATTCATATCATAAACCCGCTGAAGAATGAGCATTTCATGGCTTTAATTTGAAACAAATAGATACATTGCGTTAAGGTTATTTCAGCATCCATAATTTGTCAGTATTAAAGAGAATTGGTCTATAATGGGAACATTTTCCACACAGGCACGAGTATTGGACCTGGGATGAAAAAAATATGACCAGATTGATAATAAAACCTATGTTCATTTTAAAAGTTACAAAAACCAAAAAAAAAAATTGTAAAAAATGACCCCCTTTAATATATACTATAAGTTAAGAGAAGGCCTGAAACTCCAGATTCGAGCCTACGAGCAAGGAATTCATTTCCCGAGCCGTTGTGAAAACAATTGGCCAGATAATTAAAAAAGACTTTTATCACTATTTCACGTTTGTATTAAGCTTCCAAATGAGACCGACCCCAAGTCTCTAGCCCTTCCCGTTCATGAAATATCTATCGGGAAACGAGCGAATTCGTGCTAAAAATCCTTGGTAGCTCATTATTATAGATGTATAATTCTGTGGTAGTCTGTTAATATACCTATCAACATAAGTACTTACTGTATTACAGACCTTCCATTATAGGCCAATTCACTTTAATAAAATTAGATTAATGTCAATGGCTGATAAAAAGGAATAGTATTATTTGACAAAATGAATTAAATGTACCAGTGAATTTAAAAACTTGGAAAGATCTCATCAGACAAAATATAATCTCAATCACTTCTTACTACTACTGACGCTTGCTACTGCTACAGACTGCTACTGCTGCCATTACTACTAATACATGTACTACAAATAATGATAATGATAATAATAGTAATAGTAATCAAATAGTAATAAATTAATAGTACTAAAACTCAGTAGAATCAGAAATAGCTGGCCTGGCTCCATAGGAAAAGCGATATCTTTCAAATAATATCTCATCAGCAAATCTATCGTGCATTTTGCGACAGTCACGTTGACGGAGATGACCGACCGGAAGTACTTGTATACCTGCTGACTTGTCCAGCTTATTAATTATTTAAAATTTCGGTCAAATACATGAAAACTGAAGTTGAAAATGGCCTTGAGGTTATATAACCTTTTTTTCTCAAATCTCAGGATTTTCATTGGTCAGTGTACATTCTGTTACAGTTTTGACCAATAAAATACCTGAGATTCTAGTTTGAGCTTAGATAATTTCTTTATAATCTCAGACCCTGGTCTGAGTACATCTCTGGTGGCTCTAAACTGGTGGCAAAGGCTAGATGTAGGGTTATAATACGCAACAGCCCTTTTCTTAACATCTTACCTCTCAACTACAGCTTGGCAGGCGACAGTCCGGACTGATTTTATCTGAGATATTTAGATTTGCCTCCTTTCTTGCCAGATTGGTTCCTGCGAACCACTCAAGGAAAATGTAATTTAAAAAATGAGCCGGACAATCACATCTAGATTAGACAATTATAAATAAATCAAAAATAAATAAATAAATAAATAAATAAATAAATAAATAAATAAATAAATAAATAAAGGCCGTCTTTGTAATATTTGAGACACAAATAATATAAAATATGCACGCTATATTAAATACCTATCTCTCCTTATCAAAGGTCAAACTGCGGTAAGTGGTTAATAGAGTACAACATTATGCCTCAGAAACAAATAAACGTTTCCGTCTACGTGAGTTTATTATGTTGAAATAATGTTTTTCTTTTGAGCATTTTGATGATTAATGTAATTGACGAAAATTTAATTAAAAGGAAATTATACACAAAAAATAAAAAGCATTTGAGAAATGAAAATAAAAATATTTCTGGAACACAATATGCCTATAATAAATACAAGAGGACCTGCATTAAAATAAGTGTGTCAATAATTACAATGTTAAATGAGTGCCTGGCAAGAGTCATAAGCCACACGACCTAGTACTTGTATTTAATTTTAAATAAAAAATACAATCAAAGCTCGATGGCACTCTAATGATTTTATAAAATACTTTTGCGGTAAACTATATAGTGATAACAAGAATTACTTCTACTATTTAAACTGCTATTGCTATTTCTATTACTACAACTGACATTTCTACTCCAACTGTTGGCATTGTTATGGCTACTGCTAGTGTTACTGTTATAAGAATGATATTGCTAAAACTACCCGTTATACAATAACTGGCGAAACTGCTATTGACAACACTGCGATTGCTACACCAACTCGCGAAACTGCTATTGATACACCAAGAAAACTAGAGTAAGCATTGTGACAATAATATGATGTTAAGGAAAGAAATACACCAATTACTTTTTAATTATGTCATATGTATGTTTGAGCCAAAGGACATGAAACATATTTTAAAGGTAACATTTTAAATCATGTGATTCAGATTGCCTACACAAACTGTATTGATAAACCAAAGTTACTGGTAAAACTACCAATTATAATTCATACACCAACTCGCGAATACACCAACTGGTTACACTGCTATGGCTACACTTACTGGAGAAAAAACACTTTGGTGGCACTGCTACTTCTAATCCATGTACCTCTCTGGCGTGGGTTCGATCCCCGGGAGATGCTTTAGTAGTTAAGCGCGGAGGAAGGTTGTCTAGTACTGGTGTAACTCTCCAGGAACGATGGTTAGGAAACTACCCGCCTATATGACTGAAATACTGTTGGAAAAGGCGTAAAATGAAATAAACAAACAAACAATTTCTACACAAACTGGTTTAACTGCTATTGCCGGTGAAACTCCTGTAGCTACTCACACTTGTGAAACTGGTATTGCTACTCGAACTGCTACTGATGCTGAAACTGATGAGCTAATCTTGCCTATGAAACTAGCTGCTGTACTGCTATTGCTTCCAAAAACGACGTGACTTCTATTGCCACTGCTCCAAATGTAACTGCATATAACTAATTGTCTGAGACTTTTACTTCTGCTATTGGCACACTGTTGCAAGTATTACATTGCTACAACAATTATTACAAAAAGTTGCTGCTAGTTGACAGACCAATCAGGTTTAATAAACCTATTGCTTGTTTATTTTCCTCATTTAATGCATGCACATAATATTATGACGTATTATTAATACTGCAAGTCCGGAATAGTATATTTTCTCAAATATTAATAATTATTTTTTACATTTATATACAATGCTACTGTTAATCTATAAATAATTTTTCATTATCACTCCCTACCCGCAAATAAAGAATTGTGCATTAAAAGTCGTTTATAAACGGTTGGTATATATTGGTTAAATATGTTAAATATGCATTGAACTGTTTGTACTGCTAGGTCATATATCATATGAACAATTTTTACAAGCAATAAATACACTGTATAACAAGATAACTGCAGTCATAATATATCAATAAAATGTTTTATTCATTTATTCATAATGTCCCAATTATACTAACTTATGGCGGTTTCCTTTTTCGCCAACAATAACAGTTGTGAGATATTATTGAATATTATATACCATTTTGAAGATGCTTATATCAATAATAAATCAGTAAAATACATTAACATGTACCTATTACATTATATATACATTGTATATACAGTACAGATAAGTGACTACACTTTTTCAACATGACTATTTTGATTAAAACAAAATTACACACTATAGAAACAAATAGTTCTTAACTAAACATGAAATAAGAACCAATTAATAGTAAACATTATTCGAGTACTCACCGATATTTAACGTAAGTTCCAGTCTTTCTCCAAAAGTACTATTAAATAACAACGTGTCAATTTTGTCTTGATTCTACTTTATGATTTTAATAATGTAAATAAAATAAAAGAAAAAAGGTCATACACTCTAAGGCTACACAAACTGTTGACCCCGACATGACCCTTCTCAAACTGGCGGATCAATATGGACGTTTTAAGGCAAAGCAAAATAAACTACAGTTTACAAGGTATGGAATGAGAATACACTATGGATATTAATATACAACTTCTATTCATGTATCATGAAGGAAAAAAACACGCGCAACATTACATAAGCTAATGGTTATTTACATTTTATTGAGCCTCTTCGTGAGAGAGTAAGCCTCCCTATAAGCTAGTGAGCCTTCTCGTGAGACGATGACCTCCGTGAGACAGTGAGCTTCACGTGCGTGTGTGTGTGTGTGTGTGTATTTGAGTTTATTTATACTCGCCACCGGTTGCCCATATGGGCGAGTCCTCCAGAAGAGTATTAGTCATTTTAGATTTTTTGGAGGATAGTGCAATTACAGATACAGAAAGATGCCCCAATTCCAGAAGCTTCTCCTGGTTCTTTAGCGTGCCAAGTGTTTAAGCACCCATACACGGGACCTCGCTTTAAAGTCTCATCCGAAAGACTGATTAGTTATTTTAGTTGGCCAGCCCGGGAATCGAACCCACAATGTCGAGATTACAAGTCTCGCGCTCTAACCGATTGAGCTATGCGGGCTGGCTAGACAGTGTCTCAAGTCTCCTCTTGAAATTTATGAAAAGTGCAGCATATCTTTAGCCTTATGGTGGCGGTGTTTCAAACAATATTAATTAATTTTTAATACTCAACACTTAAATATAAGTTTTAATGATTCCATAGTGCTAAAATTATTAGATAATGTCGCATTTAACAAAACGGATAGTTCTTAACGCAGTGAATATCTTAAATGGACTTGTCCATCATTCAATTTGGACGCACTCATTCATTATTTAAAGGAAAAATATTTACTGATTAAATAGCGACCAATGTCGAC